TTAGCTACACCATGACCAGTGGTCTCCGAGCGGCGTACAACAATATTAAACCTTTAAAAACATGAAAACCATTAAAAATAGGCAATATTCTAATAATACCCTATATTAAAAACAGCCATTAAAACATTAATATCAATAAATCCTGCTGCTCCTAGGGCCAGCTAAACCGATAATATTTAATCAAAACGCTGGCTAAACAGAATTTATTGTCAGGGCCTTCTTGGAGGTGGCTCCCAGACTTTTGAATGCACTGTCCCAAGAAGCCGGGTTGGGCCCCTCCATCTTGTCCTTCCATCCTCAGGCAGGCTTTTAAGCGATATTTCTAGGGAACACACGCTCTCTCTTTTTCTTTTTTCTTTTCTTTTTTCTCAGGCAAAGACCCCCCTTTTCAGGCAGGCTTTTAAGTGATATTTCTAGGGAACACACACTCTCTCTTTTCTTTCTTTCTTTTCTTTTTTTGCAGTTCAGATATTTAAAGCGATTTATTCCTTATCTTAGAACTGCAAACTTGGAAGGGGCCCTATGGATCATGGAGTCTAGCTCCTGTCAAGGAGGCCCAGTGGGGAATCGAACTCCGGACTTCTGGCTTCTCAGCTAAATACCTACTGTATACCCCTGAGCTATTTGTCCAAGCTCTGTTTGTGGATTCCAATGGAAACGGAGGCAACCAAGCATATATGTTTGTGTGTGTTGGCTTAAAGGCTATAAGTGTGACCTTGTCTGGCCCAGGATTAAGACTATAATGATGAAAGACTTGAAATTTCTTTTCAAGAACAAACACAGCAAATCACAACATGTAAGCCTTGTTGATCTAACCAGCCATTCTCAACGAGGGCCATGTGGTCCCCTGAGGCCCCCCAAGTACATTTGAAAGGGTCCTCAGACTTGAAACGATTCTTCACACACCACCATTATTCTTATTATTCATTATGCAACTTTTACAATCCTGATCCAGCCTATATTTCCTTCATGTCATGTTTATGTCCACAGCCAAAACAGAGAGGTTATGAATAAACGCCACATGCAAGAACTTGTCCAAAAAAAACACACGACATTTTAAATATCCAAATGTCTTTCCATCGGTTTTCAAATAAATAAATAAATAAATAAATAAATAATGCCCTGCCATTTGCAAGACCAAAGTGGTGTGTGTGTTTAATGATAGTATTTTTTTTTTTGAAAGTCATTAATTCGTATATTATGGCAGAGTGAATTTCATGGCATACAAATTTACACTCAAGCTTAGAAGGAAGGCAACAGTGCCCTCTTCTGGTAATGGTTCTGAAATGACTACCTTGCAGTCCTGAATCAAAATCTCAGAGTTTTGGGACTACAGCATCCATGTCCCACAAGGCAGTCAAGTGTCAAGAAATAATGTTTCTGGTTTCTGCAAATGCAGATATTTCGTCCGGACTTCTTTGAGTCTGTATTGCTATCATCTTACTAATTATCTCAAATTAAGTTACATTGGGATGAAAAAGGCTTATCCATGCTACGATGGCTGTGTAGAATCAAATAACTTTAGAGTTGTGAGATACTGTAGAGATCATCACATCCATCCCCTTGCAATGCAGGAAACCCATAGGAAAAAAACATTCCTGACAGGTGGATGTCCAAATTGGAATCAACAAATGAACAAACAAGATAGGATAGCGCTCTTCAAAGACTTGAAAGGTTGTCATACAGAGGAGGGGCAGGATCTGCTCCCAATCATCCAAGAGTGTGGAATAACACAACAATGGGCTCAAGTTACAGGAAGGCAGATTTAGGCTGAATATCAGGAAAAACCTCTTAACTGTTAGAGCAGTACGACAATAGAACCAAAGATCTCAGCAGGTGGTGCGCAGTCGAACACTGGATGCATTCAAAAGAAGATTGGGCAGCCATCTATATTTCTATAATCTTTGTTTAGAATCATTCAGCAAAGGAGAGTCAACAACTTTCCAAGAGAGTCTATCCTGCTTTAAACAGTTCTTATTGTTAAGGTGTTCTTCCTAACAGTAAGTCCAACATCTCCTGTCTTGAACCGTCCATCCTGCTTTAAACAGCTCTTACTCTTAAGGTGTTCCTCTTAAGGTGTTCCTCCTAACATTAAGTCCAACATCTCCTGTCTTGAACCGTCTTTTAGCCCACAGGCCAATTTGAAGTTCAGAGTTCTCTCGGACATCGTTTGAACACAATTCTTCAACAATAAGAACACATAGCATGGTCTCTATCTCCTTCTATTGGCCAGTTCTGATAAACACATTGTAAAAATACATAAAGTCGTTCCAGTATATATTTTTTAAAAATATATTTAATATTTTTTGACTGTGGATAAGTGAAACTGCTGATACAGATCCCGCAGATTTGGGGGTCCTACTGTAACACCTCTCTAGTGAGTTTCCATGTTTGAATGGGTATCTGAACCCTAGCCTCTTGAATTCTAGTGGGGCACTTTCTCTACCGCACTGCAATTGTTCTCTTGAACACAGAATATTATCCTTGGACATTTGTTGAGCATTCATTGGCCTATCTAAGGTTCTGTGCATCTATTTATTGACTATGTATTAGCTGACTGCCCAACAGTTTTCCCCGCTCCTCTTACCTGATTACAATCGTATAAAAAGCCTTTTTTCAGCTGAAGCAAAGCCAGTCGAGCAAGGATAGCAGATCTCTGGGAGGATTTGGAAAGGGCCACCAGGAGCATCTTGTGAGCTTCATCCCCTCGGCCCATTTGGTACAAAGCATCAGCACACAAGAGCCGAGAGGTCTCATTGGAAGTGTCCAGGTCCGACAAGAGAAAGGCCAGCTGGAGAACCCCAGATACATCCCTGAGAAAAACAAGAAAGAGATCTATTCACAGCATCATCTGCCTCTTTTCCCCACTGTTAAGACTTCAAAGATTTCCATTATTTGAACCCCTTAATCTTAGATGTGACTTTGGAAACCTTGAAACATCTCCACAAGGATGAGTTGTTCTATTCAGGTCCCTTTTGGGTATCATGAGCTGAGCCTAAGGAGGGTCTTTCCCATATAGTATGGAAGAGATAATGAAGAGATAGGCAAAGAAAAACATGGGTGTTGAAAAGAATAGAGTTATGGGGCTCTTTTGGTATGGTGCTAGAGGTAGATATCAGAAGCTAGCCAGCGCCTAGCTGACTTTGTGCTGAATCCTGATTTCATCACCTCTTCACAAAACAGATACAATCAAGAGTAACCATGATAGGTGGCCACGAGGAAAGGATGTTTCTACCAGTTCCACTTTCTCTTAGTGAATGGGGGGGGGATAAGTTTAGATGGCAAAAATTGTTACTGAAGCTATACACACAAGGCAAAGCATTTCGGACCAAAGATTGACCATAGATTTTCACATGTGACATAATCGTATTAATGCCCTCTTCTTATACCTTAGCTTCATGTACCTTAACTTCCACTCCAAGTAAACAGTTCCACCCACTAGCTTTAAACAGTACCATACAGATGCGAAAAAGTTGAAAGGAAGCACACATTTTGACTACCTGATTTCAACTTTAAGGGAGTCCCCCTGTTTCCAGCTATGAAAAGCTCAGGAGTGATTTCCGAGCACCTTCTTCTGGCAGTGCTCTGAGACCGCCATGCATCTTCCCCAGGACCACACAGAAGGCTGGGCACTTAAGCCCATCAGCTGCTCGGTGATCACAAGCTCCCAGCTCTGCAGCCAGGTGCCCCCACTCATTGAGCTATCCCACTCAAAATTTAATTAGTACTTTAGAAGTCCTTGGAAATCTTCCCTAACGCCCCAGCCTACCTCTAATTCAACTCACTTTCCACTAGGGGTCTACAATGAATCTACTCACCCTTCTTCCACCTGGAGTTCATTCAGCTTCCTTGATTTGTTCTGTTGGGAACCGGAGCTGCCCCTCGGCGTCTTCTTATTTTCAAGGATCTTCCGGGCTTCTTCTTGGAGAACAACCAAAAGGAAACCTCTCTGGTTCCAGGGTATGTAGGACTTGATCACAAAATGGGTTTCTTCACATCTGAGGCTGCAAGCTGTGATGTAGTCCAAGGCCGTAAGGTACGGACTTCCACCCCAAGCACGGATCATGCCCCGGCCACAGAGAGCCTTGACACAACTGCTGGGGTGGGGGGAGCTGTGTTCTATGACCTCTTGGAAATCATCAAGCGCCTGTTTATAGCTTTTGGCATGGAGGCGACAAAACCCTCGCAGGGCGAGGAGCGTATTGCAATAAGTCCCTTGGTTGGACGCCAGGAGGTGGTGACAAATGTCCAAGGCTCTCTGGATATTGCCCTGCAAAAGGAAGCAGTCGGCCAGTCGAATCTTCAGCTCCTCTCTCACCCCCGGAGAGATCTGGATGAGGACGTGAAGGGTGGAGATGACTGGAGAGAGTAATTCTTTGCCGCCATCGCTTCGAAATTCTGGCCTGGCACACACAGCTTCTCTATACGCTGCAAACTTTTCGTCCAGGGCAGCTCTGGTGTCCTTTCGGATCCTATCGGCATCACTCGTGGAGAAAAGCTCTTCGAACCGCTTCTTGGCCAAGTTGGGATTGATCTCAAAGGCAGCCACCAAATCCTGAATCAGTTCCGGCACCTTTCCTCCAAGGCAGAAGTAGGCAGCCGCCCTGTCCAGGAGGAGGCCGAGAGTCCTGTCATCCCGACACGCCCCATTCTCTGACAGAGCCTCTAATGCCTTGCTATAAACAGACACACTCTCTTTGTACCTGCGTTTCCCAAAAAGATGAGCTGCCTGGGCTTGACAAACATGGAGGTCCTCCGGTGCAATGGCGCCCAAGAAGTCATAGCAACCACTTGGCCAGCTTTCTGGGCCCTCGCTGGAGTCACCGTTCTCCTGAAGGGAGAGGACATCAAAGAAAGCCTGGATGATCTGGTGCAGGTATTCTTTCTGACTACGGTGTATGAACTCCACCGTTTCGTCCCGGTGCTTCACAAAAGCATGGAGATAATCCTCAACACCGGTTTGAACGTCACTCTTGGATAGCAAAAAGGCCAAAGCTCTAGTGAGGACCAGCTCCATGTGGTCTTGGGCCTCAAGCAGGGAGTTACACCGCCTCACCACCTCCTCGTAGCGGCCTGCTTTGAGCAAGGCGCCCATCTTGTAGAGAGAGGCTGCCATATTGTTGGGGCTGAGGGTTGAAAGGAAAATGGCGGCAATGCCAACATCAAGCCATGGGATTTTCAGGTTGCTGCCCTGAAGCTGAGGAATAGGGCTCTCCCCTTGACACCACCTTTCTAAGGTTTTCATCACTTTGGCCTGATCTTCCTCCTCCAGGGAAGCCACCTTCTGGATGGCCACTGGGCCACTGCAGCTGAAGGCGGCCATGTAGAAGGCAGTGGCATGTGACAGTTCTTCGGTGGCTAATTTGTGGTCTCCTTCTTTACAAAGACCTACAGCTTGCTCCTTGGATGTCAACGTGGCCGTGGATACCTCTTTATTACCAGCAACCATTTTTACTCCCTTTGTAGGTCTGCTTGTTGGTATTTCATTTTGAAATGGCATAAAGAGAGGGGTTAAAACATTGGTTTGAGGACTCTTAAGCTTACTTATCTTGTTGATAAGGCCATGACATTTGTAAAGACATACATCCTGATAGGACTCTGGCTGCTATGGACCAAGAATTAAATCACTGTTCCAATGCTAACCTTTTTGGAGTAGAAATAGTAGCACCCATGCATAAAACGGACATATGGAGGGGAAACCCAGTATGAAAATCTCAATAAGGATTGAGGAGAAAGTAGTTAGTCCTCAGTGACAGATAAACAAGCTTGGTTACAGCTGTTCAAGAGTGGAATATCTGGAATATACCTTTATCTTGCTAAGAATTTCATGGATCAAAAAGGAGTAGGTTGTAATCCACAAAACCTCGCTAGTCTTAAAAGTGTTGCAGGCCTCTTTGTGGCTTTCGGGTCAAGACGGCGACCAACAAAGAAGTCCTAAGATGAATGAATGAAAACGAAGAAATCTCAGAACTCAAAAATGCAGGAAGCTAAAATGTAAAGGAGAAACATAAAAAAAAAATAATAGATTGGACATTTGGGAAAAGTCTGTATCGTCTCTAAAAGTTGTTTATGTAAAGTGTCCTTTATTTAAGCGACTTTGAAAAGTAACAAGGACATTTTACTTGTTCTGTCAATAACATGACTTGGTTACAACTAGTTGCTTTGTTTTCAAAAGGTAATTTTGTAGCTTGCTTGTTACGGGAAAGTTGGGTTCCAGATGGTATACATCTGTTTCCACAAAGCTTTAATAACCAAAGAATACCCTCCATCGTTGTTGCAGGTTTTTTGGGCTCTTTGACCGTGTTCCGGAGGGTTTTCTTCCTAACGTTTCACCAGCCTCTATGGCCAGCATTTTTAGAGGACAGGAATTAGAACTCTGTCTGTGTTCTGGTGTAGTGTGTGGGATAGTTGAGGATTTATAGCTGTGGGATCAGCTTTTTTTTTTTTTGTCCTTTTCAGGTGATAGGGTGATTATCTCCTGAAAAGAACAAAACCTGATCCCACAGCTACAAATATTCAAGGATCCCACACACTACACCAGAACACAGACTGAGCCCTCCCTCTTGGTTCTACAGAGCTTCTGGCAGGTGCAGAAATGGAGGTGACTGGTTTTCAGAGTGAGGGAGAGCTATCACCACCTACCCGCTCTCCCTCTTACCTGATATAAGCCTTCACCGAATGGACCAACAGCATAGAGGCAAGACATGAGGAGAGGATGAAGTTTCCATGAGGACACACACACACACACACACACACACACACAAATCATGTGATGTTATATTGAGTTTTAAAATACCAAACCATATAATTCAACAGCAACAACCTAAAGTTAGCTACATCCAAATTCGAATACCCATTCAACCAGTAAACATTCTAGCAGACTGTGATCCAATCACCATCCACCCTAGGAGCCTAAGATCCTTCACAGGGTTGTTGTGATACAGCAGGGGAAGGAAGAACTTGTGTGGCATTGTGAATTCCTTCTGACAAATAACAATTTACAGCTTCTCCAGCTTGTGCTTAAGGAAGACAAAAAGAAATCCACTTCAAATATACAATATTTTGGAAGCTTTTCTGAGCTGAAGGAAAAGGGACAACTGTATATATTCTTTACCATGAATAGGAGAGATTGGGTTGCTACAGGATGAAATTCTGCACTCGTTTACCTACTACTGCCTCTCCCATTGACGTACACATAGAATTTAGAAAGCAAGTCTGTGAAAGAGAACTCACATCTTAAAGGTTGTGGGACGCCTTGGGCAGGAACGCATGCTGGTCTCATCCTGCGTGCCTCTGAGAGGATGAATGCCTGCCACAAACTCCCCTCCCACTGGAGTGCTCCATTGAGCCTTCAGGGTGCATGAGTAGAAAGGTAGAGGAAAAGAAAGAACAGCAGCTACTAAGCTCCCCACATGCTGAGCGGTTTCCCCGGAGACAGTAAACACTACGCTGGCCGACACAGTTCCTTGCAGGGAGAGATAATTACGAAGTCCTTGGGCCTTTGCCCAGAGGAGCAGTACATGTCCACAGCAGAGAACCACAGAGATGCAGCTTTCTGTGCAATGGCAAGGGCGCACCCAAATATTCCAGGCTGCAAACATTGGTTCTGGACTTTGTGAATAAATTTGTTACGAATAACTGGACATAAAGAATTCTCATAAAAGTCTGTATTCTCGGGGGGCCCAAGCTGTCACAAAAATGGTGAGGCAGCCTGTGGAGAAATCGCTGACCTGCCCCCTCACTCAATTCCTCAACTCCAGTGCAAGAGTGAGATTAAGAACACCCTGAGCTGTTCAGGTTTCTGCAAATTTTTTTGGAAAATTTCGGTGTGAAATCAGTTTTGGTTTTTTTTACCTTTGCAAAAAGCAAACACATACACAGCAGGTGGAAAGGGACAGGGTGATTGCTCCAAAAAGATTAGAGAAAACCATCCAGTGCTTTCTCTCTTTTTTCCAAATGAAATCACGCAACAAGAGCACATCTTTTGTTGTTTTGTCGCATTTTCACAAAAATGATTCTCGCAAATGCCAGAACTATTTTTGAGGCTCACAGGAAACAATTTGTCAGCAGCAGAGGAGGTAAAGACATGTGATTTCTCATTAACAAAATGAGAGAAAACTGATTACATCCCTACAAATAGCCAGTTACTCAAAACTGCATATTTCCCCCTTAAAAGTAGTATTCGAACAACATATTAACTTGATATCGTTATGTTCTAACTCCATATAATTACAACAGCAATGTCACAGTGCAGTTTTCACTTTTCTATAACTCTTAGAGTTATGGGAATGTGGAAGAGGAACATCACATGATTCCATTGCTAATCTATCTTGGGTTCTATTCTGAATCTTGAGGTGATAAAGAGAGAGTTGAGGATATATTTTGTGCTGTTGATCTGTAGAATTCTAATTTAAATGTTAACTATTTAGCTCAGTGCCACTTATGTCCAACTTCACAGGGACTGCTGTGACTCAAGTGCTCATCCTTGCTTTTTGCCAAACCAGGGAAAGCATTTTCAGATTTTGGAACATTACAGTCTAAGGCAGCAAAATGAAATTCCCAGTCATTTGCACCAGACAGATGTGATAAGAACAGCAGCTGTATCAAGGGAACTTCTTATTTCTGGCTCTGTGTGAGGTAGCTGCTGAAGACAAGAAACCCACCAGTCCAAAAGAAGATCAAGAAACAGTAGCCATGCTACAAACACATTGAAACTATGGGAAATCAGATCAGAATTTTATGAGCTTTTCTGCAATTTTTGTGTTTTTTGTGTTTGTAGGTTTTGATTGAAACGTCTCTTTGTGCATTCTTCTCTCGACTGTAGCTGATTGAAGCCATTCACGTTTTATAATGCATGTATTGTTTCAGGCATGCTCCCCCTCTTCAGGCACCCCATTAACCCTACCGCAATATGCTACGTTCTCGAAACGCGATGCTGGGTTTGCTTTCTTGCAACGAGTCCCAGGAGGTGCGAAAACGTCGCTTTTGTGGAGCAAGTCAGGTTCGGAGAACTAATTCTCTGTCTTTAGTACAAACCATGAAGTAAGTGGCCAGATGTGTACCTGGTTCCCTAATGCAAAATGATTGCAAAATTTGGCATCTATATGGGATGAGGATAAGGAACAGAAGCTTTGGAGAGAAGATAAAAAGCCAGGCATTCTATGCTGTGTGTGTGTGATGTGCAGTCATGTCAGAACCAGCTTCTAGCAAACCCGAATAGGGCTTCCAAGTTAAGTGAGATATTTAAGAAGTGGTTTTACCAGTTCCTCTCCCCCCCCCAGCGAACTTCCATAACTAAGTGATGATTCAAACTAGGGCCTTCTCAAGTTCTAGTCTATCACTCAATCCACCATACTGAGGATCTATAATAATCATGTGCCATTTTCCAGATAAGGAATACTCAGAAGTGATTTACTCTTCCGTTCTTCTGGGGGGTGCCCCGAGACCCGGGCAATCTGCTCAAGTATGGCACTACACAACATGCTTCTTCTGCTGTTGGTAGTCTAGGAAGATCATCACCTACGCCTGCATTTGTAGCTAGTAAGGTAAAGGTAAAGGTTCCCCTTGACAATTTTTGTCCAGTCGTGTTCGACTCTAGGGGGCGGTGCTCATCCCCGTTTCCAAGCCACAGAGCCAGCGTTTTGTCTGAAGACAATCTTCCGTGGTCACATGGCCAGTGCGACTTAGACACGGAACGCTGTTACCTTCCCACCGAGGTGGTCCCTATTTATCTACTTGCATTTGCATGCTTTCGAACCGCTAGGTTGGCGGGAGCTGGGACAAGCGACGGGCACTCACTACGTCGCGTGGATTTGATCTTACGACTGCTTGGTCTTCTGACCCTGCAGCACAGGCTTCTGCGGTTTAGCCCACAGCACCACCACGTCCCAATTGTAGCTAGTAAGGTGCTGCAAAATCAGAGCCATAACTAAGAAGAACGGACTGGGGCTCTGGGCCTGGAAGTTCGAAATTTACTAGGTGCCTCCTAGGAGGGTTTGAACCTACTTTTCCAAGTATGGGTACTCCTTCCAGCCTCTAATCTGTAGGCAGAAGGAAACAGAAAAGCAGGAACAGCCTTTCCTAGTGGTAAGAGCTCTTCAGCAGTGGAAGAAAATGACTGTGGGGAGATATGATAGCACTTTTCAGATACTTCAAAGGTAGTCCTACAGAAGAGGGGGCAGGATCTGTTCTCCGTCATCCCAGAATGCACGACATGTAATAAGGGGCTCAAGTTACAGGAAACCAGGTTTCGGCTGGATATCAGGAAAAACTTCTTAACTGTTAGAGCAGTACGACAATGGAACCCCATGACTTTGGGAGGTGGTCAGCTCCCCGCATCTGGAGGTAATGAACGCCACCTGTCAGGTATCCTTTGACTTGTATTCCTGCATCGAGCAGAGGGTTGGCCTCGATGGCGTTTGAGGCCCCCTTCCAACTCCACGATTCCGTGTCTCAGAAAGTAGCAACCACTCCTCTTGCTGGGGGTTTTATTAGCAGACGTTAGAGGGCCATCCATCAGCTATGCTCTAGCTATGGATTTACTGCCGTGAAAGCATGCTGGACGTGAACCTCTCGGGGTGCATTCAAGTTCTACAGGTCTATGATTCATTGATTGTATAGAAAGTGTGTGTGTGTGTGGGGGGGAAATCCAATGTCCTGTTAAGAGCAACTGCAAAGGTTAAAGCAACAAAGTGAAAGAAAGATCAAAAGCGACTGTAGTACGAGACTCGCTACTTACCGCATCTTTCTCCAGAATTTGTGGGCACGGAGGGCTGGCTTACCTGGCCTCCTTCCCATACCTTCTCTTTACCTGAAAGTTGTTATCAGAAGGAGACGGCGATAGAGGAAGCAAGGAGAAAAGGTTGATCTCTAAAATGCTAGTTAAATATT